CACGTCTAAAATATGCCTAAATTTGACTACATAATCATAATTTGATTAGATATGGCAATTGAGTATCTGGAATGAAGTTTCATAAGCCGGAAATTTGATATTAATGGATTTTTGGCATGAAATTCTACTTTGCCGTGGTCGATGTGATTCACACGCTGCAGACAGTTATCATCAATTCGCGTAGACACAGTAAATTCACATTGTCCATATGCAATGAAGATTTGACTTTTCGTCTAATGAAATGTTGAATTAGGGGGGTAATGTGGGTCGAAGTAAGGAATGAAATACTTCATCTGTTGAGGCAACGTCAGCTACGTGGCGTTTTTGAGCTGCTGGAAGTTGGTGGGTCCACTTGCGCGAGAAGCCTCACAAAGTTGTGCAGACAAGAGGAAATTTAACCCAAATCGTCTACCTAGACGTGGAGGAGGACAGCCAATAAGTAAGTTGCAATTTTGTAGAAGTGCAATTTGTTACTGCATCGCATCGTTTTGAGGACGCCTTGCTTGAAGCTAGGATGGTCTTTTCGTTGTCCAAGCTAGTCGTCTATCTACGCAAAAAATACAATAGCATTTCATTTATTGTCGAAGACAGTTTGGGAGGAAAATTGCTTGAGTGCACTAGATCAGCACAATAGTATCTGGTGCTTATGACTTTGGAAAGGTACAAAAAATGGTAGATTAGTGGAAAGGGCGGACACAAATGAAAAAATGCTGAATCACATAAGAGTCGGTTAAAGGTTACAGTAAAAAGTTTCTCTCTATGACCCGATGCCCCCGTTCGCCTGGATTTTGACTTGCGCTTAGGTGGGTTCTAGTAGATTAGCAAAGAAATGCCTTGATTTTTTCTTGCTTATTTATGGTGCCCTGATTACCCCTGTCCTACATCTAAAAGAACAGTCTGGAATGCTAGACTTTAAAATACCTCCACTCTTCTACTTTGTCGTCTGGAATTCCGCTCTCACTTCTCTTTCTAGCCTCCACAGCATCGTCAGCCATCTAGAGACTCGGTTAATCAGTAGACGAACCAGCAGGCCTGTTTGTGCACGTGGCGCTCTTCAGTGCGCA